GTCGGTACGGGTTGCCTACTTCAAGGGGCTAATTTTTGCGAAATTTCAGAATTCTGGCCGATTTCGGATTTTGGTATCAGGAGAACATGATACTCAAAGAAGTAGCATAACTTTGAATTAAATATCGATACTTATATCTTGTATCAGGAAATCGTAATGATCGAGTAGGTATCATAATTTTTATTTTCTGCTCGATACTTACCTCTTGTACCAGGAGATCATGGTGAACGAGGAGGTGGCACTAATCGAATTTGGCTTGAATTTTACTTGTGATATTATAAGAACATGATATTCAGAGAGCTGGAATAAATTTTAATTTTAGCTCGAAACTTACCTTTTGTATTTGGATCACTTTAACAAAGAGGAGAGGTACCAGAGAAAGGAGGAAAATTAAAGGGAAATGTGCTAGGAAATGAATAGAAGTGAAGGGAACTGTCGGAAGCTGTTAGGAGGTCTTAGAGAGTGATGGGAGTTGTTGGAGGATTTTAGAGAGTGTTAGAGAAGGTGTTAGGGAGTGTTAGGAAGTGTAGGAGATGTTACTTATACAATTAATTAAATTTTATATAAATATCTTTTAACATTGAAAATATAAACAAATCGTCAATTAAATAGCTTGAATTAATTCTGCTTAAAGTAATCGTCAATTAAATATCTTCGATTAAATTCGCTCATATCAATCGTCAATAAAACGACTTTCGATTAATTCTGTTTTATTCAATTTTAATGAAATAATTATTAATTACATTGTTTGTAATTAATTGTCAATTAAAGACGGAAATTAATTTTAAAAGTAATTAATTACTCGCAACCCTGATTGAGTATGAAGAATGACTGAAAATGTTAGGTAGGGATACGATGAAGAATTGTTACCAGACAGCACCTCTTTTACCATTCGTTTTTATTAACTTGCAAAATTACCTTATTCGTCTACTCATGCACAGATAAAATATATAAATAAAAATGTAGGTAAATGGTGAACGTGAGTCTATTAACCAAGACCGACTAAGCAGGCGTGTGCAAATTTCAAGCCACGAATTCGATATCTTGACATCGTTAGTAGTTGTCCCCCATGAAAGAATAATTCATTCCACCTTGGAGGAAAAGACACGAAATCGTGACGACACGACGCTCGCATTCAGATGTCACGCAAACAGATTCGCTAGAACAATGATAAACCTATCATAGAATAATGAATAAATATATAACAATCGAAAACATGGCCAAATGCAAGGACAAATAACCAGACGTGTCCTATTCTCGTCTCTTTTTCCATATGTTTCAAAACTTCGTTCAATGGAAAGTCGAACGCAAGCAAGTTACAATGTATTCATGATATAAACTACGAAGAGATATGCACATATATATACATATACATATGTATATAGTAAAAAATCATAACGAGCTATATAAAAGATACAACTGTATAGTGTTAATAGTTTTACATCTTTGGACAGTCAACAAAAGCGATCACTCGCGAAAAAGTGATTCCCCAACAACCGCGGAGAATGCAGTAGAGAAATTAAATACCCACCTTAAACTGTCAACGGTCTCTCATTTGGAGACCTACGATTGTTTTCCAATATATCTCAATTTTCTTAGACATTATAAATTGTAATTAAGGACGAAACAAAGTATTTCTTAGAAATTTTTTCTCCGAGTCTTCGTGCTTAATTCTCGTTCGCAGTTTTAGTCCACCAAATAAAAGATTCGTCAACCTTCTCAGTAGAAACGTTACAATGAAACTCACAAATTCGATTCTACACATTTTGCAAGATCGTCAGTTCTCTCATTGTTTTCTGTGGTAATTGAAGGGATAATAATTCGTCAACGTAAAGGAGCATCGCGTGTTTTCCTTGTTGGTACCGACACTTGGCGAACACAAGTCCTCGCTGAGTGATATTAAAGTGGTTGAGAAAACAACAGCTCACGTAATTAACTGAATAGGTATGCAAACAGTAACAAGAACAATGTCTATGTGTCTATGTGTCTTCCAAGTATCGGCCCTGAGCACCGTCTTAGAGTAAATATTTGATTCCGGAACACCTTTTCGTCGACATCTGTTTTCACAATATGCTTACGTGCTTCTTCCATTCTTCTTTTACGTACTCGATATGTATGCTGTAAGAGGAAGGCAAAATTCTCATATCTAGATACAAAATTTGAATGAAAATTCTGCGCAGTCCTGTGTCAGTAGTAATTTACACAAGTATACGTATGTAACAGGGAAATATTCAGATTTCTATGAAAACGTTTCATCAGTTGGACTACTCGAACCATTTGTAAACATTTCCTATTTTAACCTTACATTGTCAACATTTACGTTCCAGAATTAAATATTCCTTTACGACAAGGAATTTTCCTCACCCACCATCTCGTTGCTCGCAATTCACCTTCGTTAACTAACAAACAACACGAAACAGATCTAAAATAAACTCGCCGTCTCGTGGTCGTTCGTTACGTGAATTATAGCACACATTTCGACTAGAGTAATATCATATACGCAGTTTAAAATTATATCTCTTGGAGAAGAAAGTAATATGTACACATTCCAGCAGTCTTGGCGGCTCCAGACAGATCAACTGATGCTATTGTACTCTGGTACTTTTTCTAAAGTACATTTCGCAATAAGAAATAATGATTATTGTTTAATCGTTCGAGCGAATTATTATTCAATTATAATAACAAGACATAGATATTCACGCAGAAATAAAATCTCGCCAGCAATCAATTTATAACAGTAACAATTAAGGAGTGCCAAGAGACTGTTGAAATAACAGGGTACAACTTGGTCTTCTGTCGTTAATTAAAGTCATTAGTCATTAAGTCGAACTGCGTGTAACAGCCCTTTTCGTCGAGGCGGCACGTGTTCTCAATAAAATCTTGAAGCGCATTTTCGTATCGTCGTATACAACGATTATTCTTTATGGCGTTTCCCTCCTCTCGTCACAAAAAAGAATCTAAACGTAACATCAATTTATAAACGAGTGTTTTCATAATATCAATAATTTTCAACAAATTTCTTAACAACGTCTCTTTCATTTTATCTAAGTAATTAACTCCATCGGTGCTAACAAAATGTATAATTCTTTTAAGGAAAGCACGCTAAAGAAATTTCAACGTAACTTATGAAGAACCTTATTCTCTCGATATCCAATAAGAGATTCGAGGGAGAAGAAGACCGAAGAGAATTTCTTTTCAGTCTCGTGTTTGGAATTAAAAGAACGTGGTCGAATGCGAAAGAACAAGCGCTTAGAAGTTCCTCCGAACGCTTCTCTTATATACCTTCTCTGCTTACACAACAGAACGTGTCATATCTTTGGCTTGTTTATCGTTTCGTTAACCATGTCCAAACTCGTCGAAACGAAACGGCCGGCGAAACCTCTACAACTACATAGTTTGCAACATCAGAAAAAGAGGACGTCGATATACGAGTGTTGCCTATGAGGTCGTTATAGTTTGGACAAAATCAACCAACCGCTTGAGATCATTTTAACTAAAAATGACTGATAATAGAATATTCTAACTTAATGGTATTAATATTATCATCACTCTCGACCAGTGATCTAATAATCTTTGCATGCGGAGACCTTGAATTAAAGCAACAGGTGGTATATGTTTGCAGGGATAGCAGTAATCATTTGTTGGTGACCTCAAGCGGCCAACTGAGCTCGTTCTGACCCCGTAGACGGATACGTTTTACTCGATACGATCCTCGAACAGTTTCGTGCGTGCAATACGGCCGCGGTGTAATACTATAGCTTACAAGACGATTATAGAGGGCAAGAGGTTCCCTGATGATGACGATGCATAACTTCTCACGCGCAATTTTCAGTTGTTGCAGCCTCGAACATGTGCATTCTCTCTCTCTCTCTCTCTCTCTCTCTCTCTCTCTCTCTCTCTCTCTCGCGTGCGCACACACACACGCGCGCACACACGCGCGCATACACACACTATCAAGATACTGGACTGTGTTTGCAGGAATTCTGTCTTCATTTTTTGTTCTCTAAAAAATAACTACCTTTGGGCTAGAAAAAGGTACGCGCGAATACACGAAAGATGGAGAACCGAGAGCATCCAATCCTCTTTCTTAGAGGCGATTCTCAGATCTACGATCCGGAGTCCCTTAGAAATGGCTGCAGCAATTGAAAGACCCGCATTTAAAGTGGCTCTTACGTTAAGTAAAAATAAGGGTCCGAGATTTGCTGTCTATTTACAACGTGAAGTACACAATATGTATAGATCGTATATAGGTTGAACAACGACACTTATCACATAGTCGACCTAGTGGCTTGATTCTCCGCGACCGATTGTTCGCAGTTACGGATCGATTCGGGATCTTCTTCTTTTATTTTAAGGGATCACTGAACGCTTCTCCTCGGAACAATGCTGCTGACGAACCCTATCCATAGAAACATCAAGTCCTTGGAGAACATCCAATTGTCCCAGAGAAACGTCCTCGAAGCCGTTTGAACGCCCACGATACCTTTGTACTTCCTAATGGTGATCCGGTCATGATCACCAAACGGATTCGTATCCCATTCACGGGCTATAGGACCACGCGAAATGATTCATAGATATACGGAGGAATTGTTTCACCATCTTTGACACGGTCATTCGCGAAGACAATGTTACACGACACTTTATTGTACGAAGAACAACTATACTTTTAAGTCTAAACTCTTGATCTCAAGAAAGATGAAACTCGCTCCACTTTTTGGTGTATCGCTCGATGACGTTGAGCCCTCTATCGCTGTATTAAACTCTTTTCTATCGACGTTCTATCATCGTTCGATTCAGCTTCCCACTGTTCCATTGAAGCTATCCTCGGGTTTTCAAACGAGAGTACCCATTAATTATCGCTCTCAGCGTAGTCGTCGCTGTCACCGCTGTCATAGTATTGATTCTTGGACTGTTGACGAATGGACTCCGCCGAATTGACCGTCGACAGACCGTCAGGGTATCCTTGAGACTGGATGTCTGCACTCTCCAGCATGTCTACCGATTCACCGTCCAAGATGTCCAGATTTTGAGAAAATATGTCCTCCGGTATGGAATCGTACGACCTGGGGAAACGACAAATTCCTTGGTTAAAACAAATTGTTTTTGGTAGATCCTCTCTGGGCCTCTGTAGACCAACTCTGTTGGGCTATAGACGGCTCGACTACGGCACTCTACGGTATGAAACATTCGCAACAACCGTCTTCGACGCTTCACAGGTCGCTAAACTGAGCCGATAGTTGAGTTGAATGCGGGTTGAATGCCCGATGGAACATACCGTGACTGTGAAGCGTCCAAGACTTCATTAGTCGACCAAAAACGATGCAACTTAGGGTTTCATTCCGTTTGGACAAACGATATTTAGTTGAAGCAAACGGTACCTAGTTTGCGGCAACGAAAACAAACAGTGATAAAGATTAGGGTTGTCTGCCTTTTGACTGGCTTCTTCCATGATAGTTTGATCGATTATTACAGAACGAAAAATTCGCAGTATTACGTTGATTGTTAAAATTAATAATTTACTGTAAACGTTATCCAGCTGGATTCAAATGCTGCGTTCTAGGGCGTGGAAAATAAAATTAAAGAGAACCAAAGGGAACTGAAGTAGAAGAAGCAGTTAGCCGACTCTCTATCGATGCGTTATGCATACACGGGCCTCGTGCGTTGCCATACCATGCAATTCTGTTTTCTTTACTTACTGAGCTGTAGATGATGGTTACATTTCATCATCACACAGCCTGCAACAAACGCATAAGATCGCACCATAGTCATTACGGTCGCAGTACAAGGTGGAATTGTTAGATCCCGCAAGGGGCATACTGTCTATCTAACGGCAAAGCATGCCAGAATTCGAAAGCTATGAGCTCCGTTTCACAGCTTGAAATTTGTAAGCCAGAACTTCCTATATTAACAGACCCCGGTTCATCTATTCGCTAATCAACGTTTCACGAAAGTTTCACGAAAGTTTCACGAAAGTTTCTCTTTGAAAAATCATAGGCTTTCCAGATTTACGGAATTAACTTAATATTATGTCTTGGTACACTTCGAATGGAATGTATCTTGGTGATCGATTAGGATACGTAAAGCGAAGGTTTAGAACCGATACAATCATGTGATACAAGAATGGTATAGATGAACCGTGAACGTAGTACAGCGCACAAAATTGATACTTACATCTGATCGTTTTGTTCGTTACCACTTTCTTCGGCGACCAGCATCTCGTACTCCTCGGCTGCGAATCGGTCCCAATCAGACAGCTATCGCAAATGAAAAAGAATCGTTAGGTAAACAACTGCGAATATCTGTCGAGTATCAGGTCAAGCGGAAGGTTCTTGCGGGATCTGGTCTCCGCGGCGTGAGAACATTAAAACACGGAGGTTCTCAAGTGAAAAGAAACAAGTACACTTTCACTCTTAGAGATTTGTGTTCTTTGTTCAATGATCTCGGTTATAAAAGTGTTTGTGGTCTTACTTCGTGGCCATCGGGATCGTGCTCTCTGGCTGACGCGAACGGATCTCTCTGCTCATGATCCAGATACTTCTCTAGGTTAAAGAAGGTGTCGAAGAAGATCGAAGTCATCTTGCATTTCTTCAGATCGCTCAGAGATATCTTTCCTGGCGTAGATGGCTTGATCATGTCCAACATCTGCGTAATATAAACCAATGTAAAGTACAGACCGATATAGAAATAAATTAATGCAATTGCAAAGACTGAATTGTAAATATTCATATCTTTCAGAGTGAACTCTACAATTACCTGACAAAGGCAGTCCTCGAAAGGCAACGTTTCCAGTCCAATCGCTTCCATGCGATGCAACTGTTCCTCGTAAAAGTATTCCAGTTCGTACATGGATAGGTAACCGTCCCCGTCGAGGTCCATGCACCTATCGATTATTTGGAAATGAAATTTCTGTTAAAAATATCTTCATGAATGATGGATAGAATCGTTTATTGTACCTGAACCAGTATTCTATCGCGGTCGGATGGTTTTTGTCCTCTTCGCTCAACAAGAACCACACAAACTCCGTGTAGCTCATCTTGTCCTGGGGTTGTTGAACGCCGTTGCCACTTTTCATGCCGCCCCTTGTCACGGCGCCGCTGAATATTCTTGCGATCATACGCTTCGACAAGGCTGAAACGCGGTGAATAATTAATAAATTAATGAATATGATTATTACACTTTCGAACGAATCACGCTTCAAGAAATAGCTGAAATCTGTCCTCACCGTGATCGTTGTGCTTCGTGAGGTCCGTCTTATCGATGAAGAGATCGTGATCCCGATCGAGCTCCCAGAATTTGCAGTATATCACGTAGAAGTGTTCGTAGCTAAAGTACGCGGTAACCTGATTGATGTCTTCCTCGTGCTCGAGGACCGCGATCACCGACAACAAGTTGCTTCTTCTCAGTTCGGCCACGGAGATCCTTCCGCTCCAGCTTCTGTTCACGCAGTAAAATATCCTGGCGATCACCTAGAGATCAAGGCGCATCGTAAAATAACGCGATACGTTGCGTTTAACAAACTTTGAAGCGACTCGTAATTCATCAATATTTTCCTCTGTTCATAGTAACAGCTTCCAACACGCTTGGGATATTACAACGGTTGGTAAGTTTGCGTAGGCACCGACGATCGAAACGAGACAAATTGACGAGCAAATACGGAAGCTGATTACTTAGTGGAAGAATAAACATTCCGGAGGAATTCGATTTCGTGTCTCGCAGACGAACGCCGCGTCCACTCGTTAAAAATCGTTCCCGACGATCGAGCTCGCACGATAATTACTCGAGGCAACCGACGATCATCTTGAATAATTCACGACGATCCTCGTTGCGTAAACCACGGAGTTCCACCGTCGACGGAATCTTTTTTCTTTCCCCTCTCGCTCCTCTCGCGTGCACCGAGAGAAACCCCTGGCAAATATTTATCGCGCGAATACGAACCGTGTGTACGTAGCGTGAATGGAACTCAGTAGCCTCTTTCAGGAAAGTTAAACCTGGATGAGTCTCGACCACGTCTTGCACCAGTGGGATTAAATCCTCGGGGAGTATATTGTTCCTGAGGCCTCGGGTTGTGATTCTGATAAACTTGCTCGCTGCGTCGTGGTAGGTGTTCGATATCCTACAAACAATAGACCAGCTTGGTTTAACTTGTTAACCGGAGGGAAGACGAATTAACGTGTCACTCGGAGTCGTCTTTGTATTCGACCTTCTTTCGATTTCCCGTTTATAAAGACTAGCGTGTTTAGAGAGAATTGTCTTTTTACGGACTCTACCGTAGCATTGATTAAGTCGGTGCAATAGATGGTTCAATAATATGGATGCTTACTCTCTCCAAAAGTCAAGGAAGGCGTTCATCTCGACGTATCCAATCTGGTCGCCTCCAGCCGCGAGAAAGAGTGGCACCTTCCAGTAAAGGGGTAGGTCGCATGCCTGCAACGATGGATTATTATCGTTATATACCGTGTCTCGAGAAAAATAGAACTAAACCTCTTCGGGGATTACTTTCAATTTAGTTTCAGTCTCTCAATCTATTAGGTTGTCCCAAAAGTTTCTTTCGTTTTATTAATAAGTAATACATACGCAATATTTTATGTCTAATGTTACATTATTGAATTGTGTACGATTCATTTTGCTCCATTAATGTTACACCATCAGCATCTAAGAAAGTAAATTGTCTATTTATATAAACACTATCGCATAAAATAATTGAGTACAAATTACGAAAGAAACTTTTTGGACAACCTAATACGTTCTTCGTGAAAAATAATTTCTAAACGTAAGAAGCTAGACGAATATCTCGACCTCGACGATGGTCTTCTTCGCGCGTCAGTTACAAAAACAATACAATTTTAATCGATATAATTGAATGCACTTCTAAGTACTACTTTTTTAAACAACACCTAGCCAGCCTATTCGTTCCACGGCGGAGTGGTTCGAGGTCGAATCAATGGAGGGCAAGCGACAGAGGACAAACGGAGGAAATTGTGTTCGTGGAAGTTTTAACGAGCCTCGTTGTACCATTACCTTGGTGATCGCGTGAAATTCGGCACGGGAAGCAAGATGATCCGGCAGAGCCTGAAAAGCTGCGGTGATTCTGGCGATGGTTGCTTCCAGCTGCGACAACGGCAACGGCTTTCCTCCGGGGAAATAAAATCTGCAAGCGTTAAACAAGATTGGAGATCGTTATTTCTGGTCGACTTTTGTTGGGCCATTCTTTACAATCGAGTAATCGTGAAAGATGTGAAAATAAATAAAAACAATTTGTATACAGTTGCATGCAAAAGTTTCCGGGCAAAAATAATTTTGGAATTAAATTATGTATAATAGGTGTAAAGTAGAAATACAAATATATCATAGTAATGAGCATTTATTATACTATCGAAATGTACAACTCAAAAATTTGATACAAGTAATAATTATTTATAACAAAAATAACAATTTTTACTTCTTCATAAGTATCCGGCCAAGTACAAAACATGAAGAAAAAACACGATAACTGAAGGAAAAATGTTCAGAAATGATTACGAATGTAACATTATCATCAATATTTAGTAACCATACCCTGTGAAGCTATCACGGCGGGACATCGGTGAGGCATCGATTCAATAAGTTTAATGATTCTATCTTGAGAGATATTTCTCTACTCTTCTTGAATTTTTGTCCGTAAAGCAGCTTTATTGGTACAATTAACAGTTCCTATTCTTAGTTTAAGCTCTTGCCATAAATGTTCTATGGGATTCAAGTCTGGAGATTGACTCGGCCAACTATGTAGAATTCGGATCTTATTCTTCGTGAAAAACTCCTGAAGCAACCCAGACCGATGTTTTGGATCATTGTCTTGCTCTCCCATTTGGCTGACATTAGTCAAAGTACTGTTTCACGTAGACTTACAGAAGTTGGATGTTTTTGTGGACGGGTTGGAGTTAAAAAACCATTGATAAGTAACAAAAATAAGAAGGCCAGATTAGAGTTTGCAAAGAAATACCGGAGTTGGACAGTTAAAGTATGGAAGAAAGTGCTGTTTTCGGATGAAACTAAAATTAATTTATTTGGAAATGATGGGAGAAGGTATGTTAGACGACCACAAGGCACTAGGAATGATTCCTGATATCAAATACCAACAGTGAAGCACGGTGGAGGTAGTATTATGCTTTGAGGTGCATTTTCTTGGAAAAGCGTCGGTCCAATTTACAAAATTGAGGGTACTATGAACGCTCCTATGAATAGGGATATTCTATCAGAACAAATGCTACCTTATACCCGTCCAAATTTGCCACGAGGATGTATATTTCAGCAAGACAATGATCCAAAACATCGGTCTGGGTTGCTTCAGGACTTTTTCACGAAGAATATGATCCGAATTCTAGATTGGCCGAGTCAATCTCCAAACTTGATTCCCATACAACATTTATGGCAAGAGCTTAAACTAAGAATAGGAACTGTTAATTGTACCAATAAAGCTGCTTTACGGACAAAAATTCAAGAAGAGTAGAGAAATATCTCTCAAGATGAAATCATCAAACTTATTGAATCGATGCCTCGCCGATGTGCCGCCGTGATAGCTTCACAGGGTATGGTTAGTAAATATTGATGACAATGTTACATTTGTAACCATTTCTGAACATTTTTCCTTCAGTTATCGTGTTTTTTCTTCATGTTTTGTAAAAATTGTTATTTTTGTTATAAATAATTACTACTTGTTTTATCAAATTTTTGAGTTGTACATTTCGATAGTATAATAAAAGCCCTTTACTATGATATATTTGTATTTCTACTTTACACCTATTATACATAATTTAATTCCAAAATTATTTTTACCCGGAAACTTTTGTATGCAACTGTATATTTAATTTGGTAAATGGAGTGTAAAATTAATTCAACTCGGTGGTTGTCACTAATACTTCTTAATTCAATGAACGTTGTTACACAAAATGAATTCTGGAGCAAAGCTTACCTTGGTATGTGAACGTTCCTGTTGGCTTTCACGTGCCTTTGAAGTGTCGTGTGGGGTGGTAGATTTTTTTGCTGTGTCTTGTCTTTCGCGTACGTCTGGAACCAACAAATGCATTTGAGAGAACCTGACCAAAGAGAAACTAATGAGAAAAGTATACCACGATATATTTTGCCACAACTATAAAATGTGTACCTAAATATAAGTTAAACCCTTACAGTGCACTGAAACTCGGAAAATGCCTTGCCAAACCGGTGCGCACGAACACTGGCATTCACGACGAGTCAGATTCGCGATTTTCAAGTTTGGGATAGAATATTCATCACGGGTCATACTCGTGATTTTCACATTTGGCCTAGAATTTTCACCAGGGGGCATACTCGTGATTTTCAAATTTGACCTAAAATTTTCATCACGAGTCAGACTCGTGATTTTCAAATTTGGATTAAAATGTTCAAGGTATTAATATACCACAAGGGTCTGGGCGAGTCTCAAAGAACACGAACAAAACAGTAGGTCGAGCAATAAATTCGCGGTGTTTTATTTCACCTCGATATCGTCCCACGAATTTTTTCTTTTCTGTAGAACATTCTCTTTGATCGTTCTTCTACAAGTTGCCTTCGGAATTTGTTTATTAGTGTTAATGGCAATAAATTTTTAGGTTGAAGAAAATGGAATGGAAAGTTAGCTCTACGAGAAACCATAAAGAGTACCCCTGAGTGGTGTTTACGATGTGAAAGAAATCCGTCCTTTCGCCCATAAAACACGTTTTTATAGCACCAATCTTATTAGTCATTAAGCTATACGAGACGAAATAGTACTCGACCAATAGCGGTATGACCTTTCTGAAACGGGTCCTTATAATCGCTGACATGTAAATGACTTTGAAAGCCAACCTATGGCCGCTCTCTTCTATGTCTCTGACCATCATTTTCCAACGAATGTAAATATTCGATAGTCTCCATAATGGCGACGAGAGACGTTAATTTCCCAACTCCAGTGCTCGAAATACTAGGAGAAGGTTGGTGATGTAACAAGAGTCGCACAGCCGAGGTGCGGCGATGCATTAGCCGCGTTGGCCGGCCTCTTTGCATTCTTCGGATCCTTTGTGACTGCGTCGCGTAACAGGATGCCGTGTCCTTGGCGCGCCGACACGTCGAACACGGAACGTCAGTCTCGAAGAAGCGTAAAATTACTCCGACTCGAGACACGCGATCGATTCGTTGTCCACTGATGCGGAAAAACGCGTGGATCATCCGACCACAGGAAGCAATCGCAACTCGATGGACCGAGTTTCCTTCTCGCGCCTCGAGAAGGGCTCGTTTTTAGTAGGATAGATCACGAATTAGGATAGATCACGAATTAGGACGCCTTCGCATCAGGATGTTTTATTGCTCATTGTAGAGCGGAGTGGAATTTCTTTAACTTTGGAAGCGTTACGCAATGAAGTCTCGCAGAGTATCTATTAAGAATTCGGTGTTCGATAGCAGTAACTTTAATAACATCTGTAGTAATCTCAAATTTTTAAAGCGGTCAAAGTCCCCCTCGTATAACAAATATGAATAATATTCACATAATCGCTGTGAACTCCAAAGAGGAGTTTGAAACGTGGTAATTCCTTTAACAGAAATCAGGATCGGTTCCCGTTGTCCTCGTAGCCTTCGTTTGCAGTAGGTGTTTGCATCAGGCATGTAACGAGCATGAAATAAACGTTGATGGCGTGGAAGCGTGGTTTACGCACTCGAACAGCGTCCGCTGATTGCGATATCAACGGATTTTAATTAAGTTGAGCTTCGTTATGGGGTCAATTGGATCGGCATGGAAACGAACGTGTTTCCAAACAGAAATTTCAGACGAATATATTCATTCCCCGATGGGGTATTAACAATAAGAAATTCGATTATTTCGCGATGAAAAGCAACAGAAAGAACGCGAATATTGAAACGACGTTGATCGTATGATACAATTGCGTGCTAAAATTCGTTTCGACTATTCTCTTGAGTAACATTAGCTTCTAACTCAAAATCAAGAGTCATGCGGTCACAATAGTGCCACCGGCGGAAATTTTATTTATAAGATTGCTCGTTGAACAACAAATATTTTCCCGCGTTTTTTCACTTTCGTTCCGCGTCCTTGATCTTTCAAACGTTGTAAACAAATTTTTTGTCCATTTTAAGGATCACACCAAGGCTCGAGTAATAACTGCCATCGTAAATTAAGCGAGATAATAGCAGAAAAACACGAGACTCGAGTGTCTGGTTTAAATATTTATAACGTTCGTAACAGCTATTGCAAAGCACTTCATCGAGCGGTCTAGCATAGCAACACAGCCTTTGAATAAATTTTTGTATAAACGTCGCTTTACGTTCCCGATACAAACTCCAAATACGATAACCGTGGTCCAACTCAGCGTCGTTATAAAAACGCTAGGAAGAATAGAGCGATATACGTATAAAAGTTTGGCGAGTAATAAAAATAGCGCGAAAAGAGTACGAGCCAGCGATGGCATCGATAATAGACGATCCAGGAAGTTTCAGGAAGCCCGATAATGCATTCCGACGAAATTAAGCCGGCTGGAGGGACTGACCGATAACCGAGCCAGATCGAACGGATAAAATAGCGTCGATCGATGGCCGATCGGTGTCGCCAACCGTTCGAGGCTCGAGGGCAACATGCGTTGGATCGATAGGAGGTCACGTTACATGCGTCTTCTTACCGTGAAACATCTCAATAAATGCATGTCCGTACGGTCCTCGACTGGGAGACGCGTCTGCGGCAGGATCTACCAGCGTATCGGGGACGAGACGTCGTAACTTTTCCTTCTACTCAAAGAAACTACACCTCTTGACATAGATGGACTACGATACTCGAGAGCAAATGAAACCGATCGATGAATTAATTTTTCTTAGACGTGATCATTAGCGTGAACGACCTAGCGGCTAGGATAACGGAGGCCTGGGGACAACCTGTCCGAGACGTACTAGCTCGGCTAGCACTTGTCGATCGAAATCAACGTATCGGATCGTTGCGGGATGTCGCAACGGATCTCATCTGCGTCGCATGCGACCGGCCGTTTCGATTATCGTGGCCTCAGTTTGGCACGGTTCGCCGAGCGGCGCACGGGATACCGTCGATCAGCGTTCCAATTGACATTGCGAATTCGACTGCGCCTCTCGATCGCCTCTGCCAACCGGCCAAGGACCGCTCTTCGTCGCTATACTAAATACTTGACCTTCGTACGCTCGAGCGGCTTCAGAATTCCCATTTAAATTCGGCTGCGATCGACCAACGATCCCCGCGGTGACCTGCTCGTCGACTCCGTAAACATTTCGAATTAATTTCGGCTACCGCTGTTTCGTCCCTAGCGGAGAAAGGTCCCCCGGGCTCGATCGATGGCGATTTCAGGAATTTTCTGGGAAGAGGCTGCGAAGAGCTCGAGCGAGGGGATGGGGCAGAAGGGAGAATTTTAGGGGTTGATTCTGGAGGCTCGTGGCGGGATTGGTAGCGGATTGGTGGCTGTTGAGGTATACAGGGTGTTGTCCCAGCCTTAGCGATACAGAGCTCTAACTCTGAAACTATCGGCCGAATGCAAATTGCAGAATTTCAAATATGGAAATTTCATGGCAAAGTGGGGCTCATGTTTCAGCGTGAAGGAATTTTTGTTAAGTTTGTTATTTAACGAGATATGATGGTCAAGTTTTGTTTTTCAAATGGAACTATATATTTTTTTTTTATACCATACGATAGTACCTTTCAAGACGAATTTATTAAGCTTTGATGTATTTACTTGATTTTTATTAGTTTTCAAGCTATAACGCTTCAAAGTTTGCTAATTTTCAAGGAAAGATCTTGGTTCGGTCCCGAGCGGTCCCATTGATGCGTTAAGCACCATGCGGTTTTTGAAATCGATACGGAGGGTCTCGTTTGCGATTCCAGGCCCAAGGAAGGAAAATGGGAAAAGTATTGACCGCTACTGATGCATTACTTGTAGCGCCGAGAATTTTCTAGGTAGGTAATACTTTTCCTGTTTTCCTTCCTTGAGCCTGGAATCCCAAGCAAGACCCTCCGTATTGATTTCAAGAACCCCATGGTGCTTACCGCATCAATGGGACCGCCCGGGGCCGAACCGAGATTTTTCCTTGAAAATTAGCAAACTTTGAAGCGTTATAGCTTGAAAACTAATAAAAATCGGGTAAATACATTACAGTTTCATGAATTCGTCTTGAAAAGTACTGTCGCATAGTATAAAAAAAATCGTATCTCGTTAAACAACAAACTTCACAAAAATTCCATCTCGTTGAAACATGCGCCCCATTTTACCATGCAATTTCCATATTTGAAATGTTGTATTCAGCCGATAGTTTTGGAGTTAGAGCGCTGTATCACTAAGGCTGGGATACCCTGTATAATATACCTCCTTCTTCCACTGGAATACGTTGAAGGACGGGTGGTGGAGCAGTGCGTAGTCAACTACCACGCTGACAAGGGCAGAACACGACGTTCGGATCACGGATTTTCTTCAAAATTTATACTGTTTTAGTTATCTATTAGGACAATATAATGTGCAAAATATTAAGACGTGCTACTTTGGCGTTTTCAAAAAAAATCGTTGTCATAAAATAATTATGAAATGGTGGCGGTCGAGTGGTTAGCGTTCAAGCTCCGTAGTCTCTCTGGGTCACGGGTTCGAGAACGCTAAACACTATACTACCGTCATTTCATATTTATACTCGCAATCAGGGATTCGAATCGCTGCTGAACCCTAACCCAAACCCGGTTAATGAAGGGAAGGTTACTGTAACCCATACTAACCGCGAAGGAACGGTTCTTGAATTGTAGGAAGAGCGGGTTAAATCTGCTCGAAGTGGGTTACTAGTAGAAGAAGACATCCGAGATATCCAGACAAGTCAAAGATATGTGAATTTACAGGCAATATTCAAATCAAATGAAACTAGATTGTTTAAAATGTACGAGTATATAATGAATGTAGGACACACACGTTCACTACACGTTCTAAGGCAAGACTGACGAATGTTTATCATTCGCCTGGTTGTCACAGTTGCTAGTGTTGGAGTTCCCAGAAAATTCATAACGCATC